TCCACCCACCTAAGTACATTATATGCTTCTAAAATTCTGAGTTTTCATAAACATACATGTTTCCCATATCAATGGTTGCCACCTAGTTTTGAAATACTGTACATTTAGTTCTGTTTCACTCTGGTATCCTGTCAGAGACTGAAATATTATGGTTTATGACTTAAACATTTTCATGAAGGACTTTTAAACTGTATTACAAAAGCTGCAGAGAAGACCATCACACCCTGAATGGGGTTCTGAGAGGCCCTACACTGCTCATTGATGAAGATAAGATAAAGTAGCAACTCAGGGCTGGGGACATTCACAAAGCACAAGCCTAATACCTTCCTGGAGGAGACCACAGCCCCAGGGCTATCAGCAGCCAGGCTCACACAGTCCCTCGACCTAAAGAGTGGGGGGAGAGAGGCTTTGGGTGTGTGTTGGAAGGCCTCTGGTCAGAATGAGAGGGAAGATGTGTGCTGGTGTCCTTACAAACAATTTGCTGTGTGTTACGGTCTTTGAAATGGGCCTTAATGTTCCTGCTGACTTTGGAAAGCAGGTTCGGGTTCCTTATGGAGCCAGACAGCTTGGCGCCTGAAACTGACAAGGATCTGCACAAGCCAGATTTTCTGAACTTTGGGGTTAAGTGACAGGTTCAAGGGGGAATACGGGGTAGGCGGTTCGGGGAGGCTGTACCTTCCTAGTACCTCAGCCAATGGGGAAAGGAAGAGGGCAACATGTGGCCCGGAGTTAGGATAAAACGGAGGCTGCATCCCCTGAAACCTGGAGAAAGAAAACCCCACGGGTGTGTGCCCTGGTGGACTCTCTCCCTTTATTCGAATAAGATTGAAGGACTCCTCTGTCTCCTTTTTGGACATAAACCTCGGGCGTTTGTGGATTTTCTTTAAAAGAGGCAGTGAAGGCCTGTCCTCTGATGTCCAGAGGAGCCCAGCTGAGGGGCCCTTCACCTGCGGGGAAGCTTATTCACAGCAGAAGGGGGTGACACGGCCCGTCAAAGGCCCCTGTGAAAAACACGTTCACTCTCCTGTGAAAATTTAAAATGTTTGTGAAATACAAAGTTGTGTTTCGTGTCAGGTAAATAAAGGTAATAAAAGGTAAATAAAGTATAAAATTGTGACATAAATATAGAAATTTGAAAGGAACCTAGCATCATCATCATAGATTTACAATCATGAAGTATAGAATAGAAACTGCTGAGAAAGCTTATGAATATGCATGAATATGATCAATAAATACCAGAAAGCCCAACAATCAGTGTGCAGTTGGAGGGGAAAACCCCCACTACTGTACCCAGTGCTATTTTTGCTCATACATTACCATGTTAATTAATAAATTGAATTACTGCTTGATATATTGGCTGAGTCAAGCTTCTCATTTCTAAGAAGTTTAATAAAGGACAATAGGAGACAAGGACCATAGAGCAAAGGTTATTATAGCCAGGTGCATCTTGGCATTCAGCCAAGACCACCCCTGCTATTTTGGAAACATCCTTTATATACCATTCCTATTACATCAGTCTGTTGCATATTCATAGACCCTTATGCATAGTAAACTTTCTTCCCAAACTAGTTTACATATTCCAAGAACTGTTTAGCATGGCTCCTCCTTGGATCCGCCTTTTTAGAGCATGCGGATTCCTTGGTTGTAGTTTTTAGTCCATTCTTATCTCCAATTTTTGGGCCTTGGTCCACACTCTTCAGACTGGGATGACTTTTGCTGAATGCACAGGGTTTCCAAGCCAGGGACCCCACGGGCCCACATGGGCGGTAGTGGGCCAGGGGCGTCCAGTGTGGTGACTTTCAGCAGTTCCAACCCAACTGAGGGTGACCACAGCCATCAGACGCACTGGAGCCAGGAGCCGCTGGTGTGGGGCTGCCAGTGACAAAGGCTGCGCTTGTGGACTGGGGGAGTTTGGAGGCGCGGGGCCGCCTGCGGCTCTTGCCGCTGGCGCTGAGTGCCTTTGGGCTCAGTGCTGCCAGGGACTGGGGCGATGGAGCCCGGAGCTGCCAGTCCATCGGTGCGGGCTGCCAGCAGTGGGGGCCACACTCTCGTGGACCAAGAGATTTGGAGGCACACAGGCGTGGGCCAGGGTTGGGGGCAGGCTCGGTTGTGCGAGGACCTTGTGGACCACAGAGGTCACTAGCCCAACGGTGGTGCTGCAGGATGCATTCTGCTTGGAGACCCCTGAGAATCAAAAACTCCTGGTTGTGCAGGGTCTTCTCCGCAACCCACCAGTGTGGAGCTGAGCAGACGCAGAGCGGGGGCATACGAAGGTGCAGTGCCAGATCAGCAGGGAGGGACTAGCAGCTTAGTGTGGAGGATACAGTCGCATGTGGCACAACAAGCAGTAGGTACCTCTTAGAGGGTGACCCCAGCGCCATGGGCTTGCCTGTATGGAGCTGCCCATGGCGACTCAAGAATGCTGGGGGGGCAACTGTGCCTAGCGGGGCTGGCCCGGGGGCACCAGGCTGTGGAGACTCCCCTGCGATGTTCTCCAGCATGGAACTGCACAAACATGAGAACACCACGTGAGTGGCTCAGCAACCGCTTTCACTGGTGTTCCAAGAGTATAAGCTAATGATTTGCTTTTATTTTCCAAGAAGAAAGCCAAGCTTCTTATTTCTTTATCTTTTTTTTTTCCTCTCTTTTCTTTCTTTCTCTCTCCTACTAACTAATCAGGAAGATGGGTTCTGTCGAGAGAGCTTGTAGTTAGAATGAACTGTGAGCAAACCTCCACAATGATAGGGACCTCAAATACCCCCCCCTTTAGTTAAAAGGTAAGAAGTACCCCTTGACAAAACACAACAGTGTAGCTGTGTAAAGGGTGAGGAATACCATAATCTATTTATTTACTCTTTGAACAGTACACTTATGGGGATTACTTAATCACTATCATATATTTGGATGTTGTACATCACTGATAGGTTTTGTATGCAGATCCAATTGTAATTGACATTATCAGATAAGTTAGGAAACCTCTGCTAAGATTCTGCTTTCATTAGTGCATTTAAAATTACTTAATTTGCAAACTTGCAAAGCCTTCCAGAGAAAGCAATTTCCAAATACCTTGTGGAAACTTTGCACAAAAATGCTGTTAACAATTTTGGATTTTATTTATACGTGATATCTTAATGATATCAGAAAGAGCTGAGCTGTTCTTTCTGTGTGGGGGGTTTGATGCACTGCCTGATTGTATTGAATAATTTGGGCAATTCAGAAACTAGTTTAATAAGAATTTTTTTATTGTATTTCTAAATACTGTTCATTATATCAGAAATCCTCTTGAATTTTGCCTAATAAGAGACAAAAGATAGCTTCTTATTTAAGCAGCTGGGGGAAGGGGACTTGAGTTTGGTTTTTGTATTGCCCTCTTCAGAGAAGACACAACAAATCTATACTTGGCCTTAAAGGAATAGAGGTACAGGATGAGACATTAATGTATGCCATGGGAACTCTGAGAGAATTTGAAAATTTGGCACCTCGTCATTTCAAAGCCTTCAGTCTCATCTGCTAGAAAGTGCCTCAGTATTTTCATCATTCTGAGAACAGGTGACAACCAGTGCTATGCCTTGTTTTCGCTCTTTTCTGTGCCTTTCTCTCTAGTTCTAGTTTGTATTCATTTCAAAGGAGAAACCTCTTTTCTTCATAAAGGAGATAGGCCAAATCTTTTTATACTTGTTGTGCTGAAATTGTTCTTTGTAAGAGAAGTACTTGTCCAAATCTCTACAATCTAAATAAATAACCTCTCCTTTGTGCCGATCAAGACTCTAGGAAAGACGGAACAACAATAAGTGCTGAGTTTTGTGCCCTCCTGCCATTGTAGGGTAAGAGGCAGGAGGCAAGAATATAACACAGTCTTTCTTTAACCTTTTTTTTAAAACAACACTGTCTGTTCCCACCCCAAAGACACAGAGGGTAAAATACTGCCAGGAAGTGGTGGGGTGGTAGCAGGCAGTAGATGTCCTACTACTCTCTTTCAAGAAGAGCTCTTGGGAGTGCTTTACACGTATGCACCAGTGTGTGTCTGTTGTAGTGCGTTCTTATATTTTGTAATACTTTGAAGTAGTTTGTTTTGTATTCCCATATTTTTCCCAAATGGTTTATCCCAGACTGTACCCCCCCCCCCTTCCTTCTACTTGTGTTATCCCTTTCCTGGGATGAGATCTCCAAAACCCCCACCCTGGCTCTCTGTCAGTCACCTCGGCATCCCAGCCCCCTATCCAGAAGTTTCAGTCCAAGTTGTCGAGTGATTAGCCAGAGGCTAGGGGTCAGCCCCCCAAGTCCTGCCCCATACGCTGTTTTGTATGTCTGTCCCCCCAGCACCCATCCCCCAGAGATACCTATTGGTCAGTAGGATGTTATCTATGTTGGTTTCCTCCCCCCTTTAAATGTGAACTCCGGACATCCCCCCGGGGCTCTCGGCAGGAGGCTTCCTGAGGTATAGGAGCTCCCTCGGGACTCCTTAATAAAAACCTTGGAATATCCCCTGCTGGGAGTCGGCCCCTTTCTCTTCCACCGATGTCTCTGTCATCTCTGCTGCAGCAAAGGCAACCAGCCTGAATGCCCTCAGCACCCTCGGGGCACAGAGAGTGTCTCCCCGCAGTCAGCCGTGTTGGGGCTGCCCCCCCATTCTCTGCCAACCCAGGTAAGGCCCAGGGACATTGAGAGGCTTGCAGAGAGACTGAGACATGTGTCTATGTGCACGTGTGCCAGAGTGTGTGAGTCTGCACATACAGTACCTGTGTGTGCTGGTGTGCACAGCTCTGGGTGCACATACACAAGTACCAAGGTGTACACGCGTTGTGTGCATTACTATATACATGTGTGTTAAATTACCCCCTCTCAAGTGTGACTAAGTTTGTGTACAGCCCTGTGCTTGTGAGTGTACACAGGCTCTACAAGTGTGAACATAGCCCTGTGTAAGATATGAGTGTTGATGGCATTACACATGTTGTCGCGATGGGCCCTTAGCCAGGTAATAATTAGCATTGACTCCATGATTCACAGAAGGCTGATCAATCTCTTTATTATTCTATCATTATTAAGAAACCCATTGCTTTTATAGACAGTTATGATACATCTGGACCTAATTGGTCTTCCAATCCAAACACCATCACCATTGGCTAATTAAGAAACCACCCTTTGGTAAACAGATCTCCATAAGACATTCCACATGTTCACAACAACAGGTGCAGCAAGTGAAGATAAGAATTTTTTCTCATTCTTTTCTCTGATCTTCTCACAGACTTTTCCCCAGGATAATGCCTGGGAAAGTTGTTTCTCTATGACCAGAGAGCTGCTGCCACAGCTCACCCTTTTGTGTTTAAAAAGGAAGGAGGCATTTGTAATCCTCTGCAGGATCCTTCTGCAGGAAGGAGAACAAACAGCTTAAGAGGTTCCTTTAGTAATTTGCTGATCGTCAATCAGAACCTCAATCAGATGCTGACTTTGAATGGTCAGGGAGATTCTCTACCTGTAGAATATCTATCTCTATCATATCATTGAGACAGGGTTTACAGTATGAGTGAACCAAACAATGTCTAATATCTCTTAGGAGAATGCAATGAATAATCATTGTTTTAAAGTCCAAACAGCTGAGTTTCAGGAGAAGGTCCATTTGCTGGAGATGTTGATCTTTGGCATCCATGAATGTCCTTCTTGGTCCTGAAAGAGAACAGCTGAAGAAGGTTAATAGGGACATCATACTATGATGATGACACAGCTTCCTTGATGGATTGCTTCTATATGTTTCCAGACGCAGGTGTGTCTTGGTTATGAGCATGTGAAAAACGCCAATTACTGGTTTTTAAAATTTTAAAAATTTAATAGTAATAAAATGGTTATAAAAATAGTAATATAACTAGAGTAATAAAAATTTGGACAATTTGGATTTAGGACAATACGAGACAATAAAAACAAAGAGTTACGGACAGTCTGGGTACCTCTTTCTGGGCAAAATATGCCCGAAAAAGGACACACGTTAACAGAGGATTAACCCTTAAAAGCAATAGCCCGTTGCATATTCATACATCTCATACATGATGCATAAATTCCATTCAAACAAAGGATTCTGTCTGGTCAGTGTCAACTTCTTCCTCTCAATCCTGACGGCGTCTTCAGGACTGAGCGAGGCAGGAAGAAGTTAGTTTCTTCTGATAAGAGAGCAATAAATTCTTTTTCTCTGAAAGATTTAGGTATCCTGTGTCTGCAATCTGGTGCGAGTACCTCATTCCTTTCTTTAAAAATATCCCACATACATAGTTTCTATTTTAACTACGAAAGTTACATTTTAACTACAAAGCTACATTTACCATACTATTAAAATGTTAATACAGAACTACTAATCAATACAACATAATACCTATAGTAAATATCTGCGTAGAGCCATATAATATGCACTTTTCACAAGCATGAGGAAGCATCAGAGCAAAATCAATGCATGCAATGAAGGAGAAATTGGCAACAATTAGGAATAAATCAGATAATGCACATAATCAATAACACGTGACATTATATACTTATCAGGCACTATAGCACTGACTGTCATCTCAGAGTCTGCAACAGCTGATAGATCTCAAGCCAGCAGAGAATTGTAATCATGTCTGGATCATGATTTTCCAAACTGCCTTTGAAAGCAAGCTCAGCTGTCATATATATGTGGTCAAATTGCCAAGCCAAAATGACTTGAATCCTTTGGATGCAGAAAACATCTGGGTTGATTGTCAATCATCCCATCCAGGTTGAGTCAGGGCCTGGCCACAGCCCAAGCTCTAATTGGAGGGTTTGCAGGAATGCCTTTTCTGTGTAGAACTGCTATCAAATTCAGAGGCACTTGAGAAAATCTCTGGAATGCCATGGCCACAGCCTTAAATTCAACCAACTGGGCCGAGCCTGACTCGTGGTCTTCCAGCACTTTGAGCTGTCAGTGAAGATGGTGGCTCTTTTCCCCCCGCCTTTTTTTTTTTTTTTTTTTTTTTTTTTTTCACGGAAAGCGGCTGGCGGGCCGAGGGACCCAACCCCGGCGGGCGGGGCGGGCTGAGCTCAGATTCATTTGGCTTGTTCCCTTCCCCCAGCTTTGCACTGCTGTCATTTAGGGCCCCTGGGACAGCCCGTGTCCGTCCCAGGACAAGCGAGTCACTCCCACATTCTCCTTCACCACCCAGCCCCACCACGCAGCCAATGTCTCGGCCAGCTCCCCGACATTCCGCCCTTCCCCCTCCCGGGCATGGACCAAGCCACAACCTCTCGGGACCCCGCTCCTTCTTCCCCGTGAATGGGAGAGGGACACACGGGGTGCTCCAAGGCAAGGCAGGGACCCCACAGAGCAAGGCAGGAGGCCCCGTCCTAGGGAAGGTGCTGGTCCCAGAGGAATGTTGATCTTCAGATTTCGCAGCGCGGTCGGACTGGCACCCAGCTACGAGGGCACGTCCCTGCAAAGGGACAGGCTGTTGGTGTTTGCTGCTGTCCCTGTCCGTGTTCCCTGGCAACCTGAGGGAAGCAGCGGGGGGCGGGCCAGCTGGGAGCAACGAGGCGGGCTGAGGAACTTCTGCACCACAGCTCGCGTCCCGGATGGGAGCCGGGCCAGCTGGAGGAGCTGGAGCTGGCGGGGGGACATCCCCGGCCGTCCCTGTGGGCACCGCTGCCAATGAACCAGCTGCAGGCTGCGGGGCAGAGGGGCTGCTTGTGAGTTCCAGCGTGGAGGGGCCAACCGCTGTCGCGGAACCGGCTGCATCCCTTGATGGTGGCGGATGCGGCTCCGCCCCCACCTGCAGTGCAGGGGGGGAGGAAACCCAGCAGCGAGGCCAATCTACACGCCGCCTGGAGGGGAGGAGGAGGAGGTGATTGTTCCGTTCACGTGGGTGAAGGCGAAGGGGCAGGACCGTGGAAACGGAGCCGTTGAAGGCGTCAGTCCTTCCTGTGCATGCGCCAGGAAGCCAGGAGAGAGCTGCTCTGGCTGCACTGGAGCCGATGCCTCTCACCCCCGCGCCGCGGGGGATAAGGAACCAGCGGTGGCTGTCCGTAAACGGATCGTTCCCTGGCTGGCCACGGCGGGGTTGGCATGCAAGGCCAGATGGTTTGTGGAACAGGGAACTCCGGCCCCAGCCATCGGAGCAGTGCCAACCACAGCAAAGGCTCGCCAGCTGCTATGTGCCACTCGTATGGGGGGAGGCGCTCCTCTGTGTCCGATTGAGACATGCCTACGGAGGTGGATTTGCTTTCCCTTGGGGTCCAGCCCCTAATTGCTCAGTAAAGCGCTCCCCAAATCAGTAGTAGTTGAGGCACACTTGCATCTCCCCTCGTGAGTTCCTCACACAGACAGAAACCCAGTGAGGCCCAGGCCCGTGGATCCAGTGAGGTTTGCACATCCACGGGGGAACCATGAATTTTGGCCCAACTTAAAAGCCTGTAAAGAGCATCTTCTGACACAGGAAGTCCCTTATGACGAATCATATGTCCCCACGCTGTAAGGGTTATATGTTCTGGCATAGAAAGTCGGATGCCCGTTTTGCAAGCACCTTTTCCCAACTGCAAGCCCTCCCAGGGTTGCAGGCAGTGCTGTGTTCGGAAATCTGTTCCCCGCCCCAGTTCCTAGGCTATGAGGGCAAAAGCACGGTCCCGAAGGACAGATCTTCTCCAGGAAGATGTGGGGAAAGGTCACTTACCTCTCCGCAGGAACAGAAGGTGTCTGGTTGAAGCAGGCTGCGCGGGGCACTGCGGGGTCCTAGCGGGGGGTCTGACGGAGTCCCGGTGGAGTCCCAGTGAGGTCCCGAGGCATCTCCACCCATCCTGCAACTCCATGAAGCGGTGATCAATGTAACACACGGTGTGGTCACCAATTGTCGTTGCGATGGCCCCCCGGCCATGTAATAATTAGCATTGACTCCATGATTCACAGAAGGCTGATCAATCTCTTTATTATTCTATCATTATTAAGAAACCCATTGCTTTTATAGACAGTTATGATACATCTGGACCTAATTGGTCTTCCAACCCAAACACCATCACCAGTGGCTAATTAGGAAACCACCCTTTGGTAAACAAATCTCCATAAGGCATTTCACATGTTCACAACAACAGGTGCAGCAAGTGAAGATAAGAATTGTTTCTCATTCTTTTCTCTGATCTTCTCACAGACTTTTCCCCAGGATAATGCCTGGGAAAGTTGTTTCTGTGTCTAGAGAGCTGCTGCCACATACACATATTAGTGTGCACAGATTTATATGCTCATGTTAATGTACACAATTTCTACATATGAGCAAAGCTCATGTTTGTGAGCATGTGTGCATTAGTAGAGACTGTACATAAATGAGTGTTTCTGTGGCACACGTGTGCTGGCGTGTGCAGGTAGAGAGTACACAGCTCTCTGTGCGTGTGCGCAAGAGTGTGCTGCTGATAGGTACCACTGTACGCCAAGGTTCTATGCCGGTAAGCAAGTACCTGTGTGTGTTAACTAGGTCTGCACATACCTGTACGTGCAGACATGGGCTGAGCAAGCTCAGAAACATGTCTCTGGATGCACAGCTCCATGTATCTGGCTGTTGTCCCACCTGAGAAAAAAACGTGTATGTTTGTTTGTGTCTATGTGTACGTATTGCTACTGAGCTCTACTGACCAGAGTAGCCCCTAACTCCCCCCTGTGTATACTATGTCACAATATTTAGAGTTCAACTTAGTTTATGTTCTTACCTCATGCCTTAATTTTGCTGTAGACTTGTTAGAACTTATAAATGTACACATTCATTCCTGTATATTGATAGACTAACATTATTCCCCTGTTGCTATACTTTGTGAAAAACAAGTGAAAGTCTCACAGGACCACTCTACAGACTTTAGATAACTGTTTAAGTAACATTTTGAATGGAGAATTTAAATTGTATTAGCCATTAATATAATTGTCCTATGAAAATTACAATTATCTGTTAAGGGGAGGAGCAGCATAATGTGTGAAAAGGATTCACTTAAAACTAAAGTATGGTGGGAACCAAGGGCAAGACCAGATTGGCCCCTGTACTGGCCACCAAGATGACTATAACCCTGCTGCAGGCAGCAACCCTGTAGGCATGGTAGGTAGGGGTAAAAGCCATACAGGACCTCTGTTCACAAATTCCACCAATCATTTTGCTTAAAACCCTTTTCCACTGTCCTCACCCACATCAATAGATACTATTATAACTAATCCAAATTCAAACTTAACTTAAGAAAAACATGAGTAGTTCATCAAAAATCAAAAAACTAGTTCATTGCTCAAGCCAAATAACTTATAAAAAAGAAAAGGGAGGTTTGTTATAGATGGATAATGAGATTATTTGCTCTCGCAACTAAGGGATGAATATTGTGTGAATATTAAGATAAACTTTATTGATGTATAATGTTACTGTTTAAATGTCCTCTGTTCTCCCCATAGTTCCCCTTTCCCCCCCCCCCCCCCACTGTTGCCATCAGACACCCTGAGTTGTCTAGGTCAGGTAGAAAGAAGGCATGTGCATGTACCCCTTACATGGAGCAGTTGGGAATGGAAAAGCTTGTTGCAGGGGGAGGCACAGCATGACAACACCTGACCCTCCAATAAAGTAGCAAGAAAGCAGTCTGCACCAATAAACGGCAGAGAAGAGTTGACTGATAGACTTTGGGAGGGGCCAGGGTTGGCTGATGCAACCCCCAGGTGTATAAAAGGAGAATCACAACTCTTGAAGATGAGCCAGCCATGTGGTAGACAGCTATGAGGGCAGCTTCCAGGCCTGTTTTTCCTTATTTAGTCCTTTTGTTGTATTTTTATTAAGGTTTAATAAAACTTTTGAATTTTTAAAGTGAGCAGATGTTTCTCACATCAGCTATTTCACTAAGCTTAATTAACAACAGAAATAAAAACTATAAAGTTACTTTAACATCACACATATAGAATGCATTTTAATATTTTCAAAAACCCAGTATTATAATATGTATCTGTAACAATACCTCATCTTATTCTTTATAAACCATTCGGCTTGAGCAATATTTCTTGTCCATTTGCGTTCTTTGGACTATGCTGGTAATTAATCAAATAAAACAGGGGATTAAACAAGGAAGAAATATCAAAAGAGTTGTAACACATAAAAGGAAGAAGCCTAATTTCTTCCACCATCCTATCCCAAATACATTGCCCCACCAGCTAGTTTTTAACATTGTTTCCCAATTTTGGACCAGTAACCGGGCTATTTTTCTGTTATCTTTTGCTTTGTCCAGGATGACATCCCCTTTGTCATCTATTTTCAACAATCTGATATATTAAACTTTCCACAAACACCCTCTTCTTTAACCAATAAATAGTCTAAAGCCAACCTATTCTGATACACTACAGTTTTTGTTTGGCTTTGCTGACTTAATATTAATTCCAATGCCTGAGCAGCTTTGTTTGTTATCATCTCTATAACTGTTTAGAGTCTTACAATACAATTCAGCACATGATTTGGGGCCAATACAGAGTTAGATTGCTGTGCTGGTTTTACCTTTTTGTTTACTAATTGTTCCTTTACCGAATCTTGGACTCTATCCCTAAGGTCAAATGTAAAACAAATCCATCTCTCTCCTTTTGGACATTCAATTCCTAGTCTATTACCACTTTGTCCTAAATTTCTTGCAATCCAATATTTTTCCCTGTTTTGCCTGCAGGTACTTAATTTGGATGGGTTATAACAGTGACTGTTGACATGGGTGTGTGTAATAAAAGAGGAACTTTGGTTTCTTTCCATGTAATGCTTTTGGTAGCATTTGTGACACGATCTTGCCAGTATCCCGAAAGGGAAAAGACAACAAATGAGTGACAGAAACAGGAATAACAGAGGTCTGGTATGGCTTATACCCCCACCTTCCCTGCTTATGGGATTGCTACCCATAGCAGGTGTACGTGATCTTCTCGGTGGCGAGTACAGCAGCCAGTCCAGGCTTGCCCTCTTTTTCCCTTGTCACTTCCTTTTGAGAGGAGTGATGGATTTGTCTTTACAAACAAACTGTGGGTCTGCTCGTAGATAAACATAGCACTGAGAGATAAAAGAAACAATGAGAAGGATTCCACTGATTGATGAATGGAAAAAGATATTTACCCTTACAAACAAACTGTAGGTTTGCTGATAAATGAAATTGGATATTGAAAGATGAAAGAAACAATGGGGAAAACCCCTAAATTCCATAAGAATTAAAAATTAAAAGGGAGGGTTATACATTAGAGGGAAATCTTCAGTATCAGATGATCTGGGAAGTCTGTACCTCTCAAGTACCTCAGCCAATGGGGATAGAGAGAAGGGAAATGCGGCCGGGAAATAAGGATAAAAAGGAGGATGCATCCTCCAAAAATTTGAGAGACCCCAGGGGAATGCTCCGGTGGACTCTCTCCCTTTAATTGAAGAAAGTAACAGGACTCCTCTGTCTCCTTTTTGGACATAAACCTCTGATGTTCATGGATTAATTCTCCTGACACTTTTTACTAATTTCCAGGCAAATAGTTTTTGACATTCCTTTAATGTGGCTTCCCACCATTCCTCAGGTATCTCCCATTCAACAGGCACTAATAATTCCCATCCACAAAGCAAAGTTATTATTTCAGTTGTTTTGAGTTCTATCTGGATAAGGGATAGATTTGGTACTCTACACTTGCTGCAACGAGTGTTGATTTTGTGAACTACAATACCAAGTATTCCCACAATTTAAACATCTGCATATAACCCAGCTAGCGTGTCCAGTATTGGGATGAATCAAACAGAGTATACCGTATAGCACTGATGGAAATTGTATATCCCCCTCTTCTTTGTACAAGTCACAGGCTAAGGCCAGAATATGAGAACTCTCTGACCTAAACAGTCCTGATCCTCCTGTTTGAAATGGAAGCATTCCTCCCCAAGGAGGGTATTGGAAGTGTCTCAGGACTTGTCCAGACTTGAAACCACTGATGTAAGCTTGGCCTTATTTCCCAATTAGGTGTGTGTCCTGGTTCAGGGCAAATATTGGAGAGACTCCTCAAAGGGGCTCCTCTAGGAAAGCAGATTCAATCAGCCCCTCCCCCCAAGTGATCCAGGAGAAAAATACCTCCTTGGAGAAAAGTGGAAAAAACCTGTTTATTAAGCAATAAAACCCCTTGCTGCTTCAAAAGAGATTACAAACTCAGAAAGTCCCCTCCCCGGGTTGCAGTTCAGCTCATTCAGGCTCTTATCAGTCCCTCAGGTGCTGGAAATGCCACCGCACAGGCCCGGCCTAGTGGGCCACAGGTGCGAGCTGCTGGTGCTCTTCTGGGTGTTCATTCCAGAGCAGGTTTAAACAGGTCCAAATAAAAGGAAAAAAAAAGGAAAAAAACACAGTCCAGGGAACATCTTTGCCTCAGCTAGCTAAACTAGCTAAAAGCAAAGGAGAGCTCTGTCCCGCTGTCTGTCCATCCGCAGACAACACAATCCAGGAGCAGGAATGTGGAGGAGTGAGTGCAGTGTCTGAAAACAAATTGCGCACTTCTTCTCTCCCCCCTTCAGTTTAAAAGGTGCAATACTTATTATTCAGCATAAACAGAACAAGACGATTGGGGCTAAAAACATCATATAGTCAACCTAGGACAGTGTGATTCTTTGTGCATTCCTTGCTTCACTTGGGTCTTCCCAAACCGTTACCACCCAGTCCCCATTTGAAAGTCAGTTTGGTATCACCTGGTTTAGATGTGATAGTCCATTCCTCAGGTTCCTTCACAAATCCTTTGGTTCTGCTAGCATGAATCCACCCTCTTTCCCTGGTTCAGATTGCTGCTTCAGTACTATCTGAAAATGACTTCTTAATGG